TGGAGCCCAAAAGACCTTGTCAAAGTTCTTCTGCTTCTTGTCCAGAGCAGCGCAGGCAGCATTGGATCGCTCCACATCAATCATCAGGTCCTCCACTTCATTCTGCAGCCTCTGCTTTGTCTTTTCCAGGGAGGCACACTTGGCATTGACAGCTTCGACGTGTTCCTCTGCATCCTGCAGGCGCTGTGCCAGCTTCTTCCTGGGAGGAGATAAGCACAGTGGCAGCTTAGAGCTTAGAAGGGAGTCAGTTCTGCACTGCCATGAGAGGGCAGTTGGCCACTTTGGGGGGTTTGAGCTGAGCACTTTGCACAGATCCTAAAGGATCTGTCCTTTCTGTGTGCATTAGGCCTTTCTTAGCACTTCTAGCCCTAAAGCCTATGCTTTCCCTTCCAATATACACTTTTTTCTTCCTCTCCTCTGTCCACTTTGCACACAAAGACAGTATATCCCTGCCTTCATCCCAGCCCTGTCTCAGCCCACTCAGAGACTCCCATTTCCCTTGACCGCTCTCAGTCTTCTGCAGTCATTTCTCATCCCACTCCCCACGTACTTGGCCTCCTCGAGCTCCTCCGTGCGCTGAATCGCGTCCGTCTCGTATTTGGTTCTCCACTGGGCCACTTCGCTGTTGGCCTTGGACAGGGCGCGCTGCAGCTCCCCCTTGGCTTCCTGCTCCTCCTCATATTGTTCCCGGAGCAAGTCACAGTCGTGGCGAGCGGACTGCAGGGCGTGGGCCAGGGCGTTCTTGGCCTGCAGCAACAAGAGTATTGAGTCACGGACCAGAATTATCCTGGGAAATCGGACTGAGTATGAATTGGACACTGTATTATTCTTCTGTGCAAAATGACAATGGGGACTGACAAAGAGAATAATGGATAAATTCTAGGGAGAAGCTAACATGAGAAGAGAAGCATTAAATTACCTAAATGTTTTTTTCCCCTGTCTCATCATGATAGCTCAGTAGTCATTTAAGTATCTGAAGCACCTTTTAGAGAGGAGGGATCTAATGGCAATATCCTGGGAAATCTCTTCCGATGAATTAATTTCACACTGCAAACAAGAATGCTCAAAGACTGTTTGCAATGAAGGGCAGATGGAAGCCTAGAGGACTAAATCCACTAATCACACTCACTGCAGAAATGAAAACATTTCCCCAGTATGGCTTGTGCTAAGCGTATCCTGCCCCCACTAGGCAGTGTGACATTATGAGTGTTTTCGGTGTCCAGCTGTAGGAAATCAGAAATTACCTTAATTTCTTCCTCTAAGTGTCTCTTGAGTTCCTCAATCTGTTGGGTGAAAGCCTGTTTGCCTCTTGACAGCTGAGAAATCAGAGCATCTTTCTCCTCCACCTGGCGTGAATATTCACCTGGGAAAGCACATGAAAAGGAGACACTCTGATCGTTATTTGTGACTCAAACAAGCTGTTTTGGGAGTCCCACTACACACAGGGGAGTCTCTCTCACCTGACTCTGTCTGCAGACGAGCTCTTTGAGCATTGAGGTCATTGATCATGCGCTGATGCTCTTCTTCCTTTGTCTTAATCTCACTCAGCTGGTCTTCCAGGGTGCGGCACATCTTCTCCAGATTTGCCTGTGGAGGTCACAGAGAATGAAAGAAGATTAGGATCTAGACGCCTTCTTATTCGGAAGAGCAGGACTCTAAGCAGAAAAAGATGAACAGACTTGCAAGGTCTGGACTGTTCCTTGGTGTTAGAAGGTAAGAAACACAGCTCCATAGAGAGACAAGGAGTTAGATGGTAACCAGGCCATAATTTGAAAAGATGTATTTCAATGGAATTAATTTCCAAGTGGTTTTCAGTCTATTTTTCCATACCTTGGCTTTGGAGACAGACTCCATGTTACTGGCCAAGTCATCAATCTCCATCTTGAGCTCGCTCTTCTCCTTCTCCAGCTTCTGCTTGACGCGCTGCAGGTTGTCGATCTGCTCCCCCAGCTCAGCCGTGCTGTCCGCGTGCTTCTTGCGCAGGGCGGCAGCCGTGGCTTCGTGCTGCAGCGTGGCCTCTTCGAGGTCCCGGCGCATCTTCTGGAATTCTGCCTCCCGCTTCTTGTT